GAGCAAGAAATGCTTCCCAGTGGTTATTAGGACTGGACTTGCTATTTTCAACAGCCATTGTCTTTTTTTTTTAGTTTTATTTGTGTAAAAGGAAGACAGTGATTTGCATTAGAAAATTCCCCTTAGAAACAAAGAGTGGAAGAAAAGAATAATAAAGGCACCTCAACTTTTCCTCATTGATGTAGGACAGTCTTATAATATACATCCAGATATCCTCCAGTCACACAAACTGAAAATTGTTCCACTTTACTGCAGTTCTGCAACCATATGGGAACCAATCCTATCTGTGTTCTGTGCACATCCAAAATTCCTGCTGAATGACCCACCCTGGGAGCGAGTTACCACTGACCCAGGGCTGGGGCGGCAGGAGGTGCAGTTTGGGGGGGAGAGCCCAGGGCTGGGGTGGGGGGCAGCCAAAAATTTTTTTGCTTGGAGCGGCAAAAAACCTAGAGCTTGCCCTGACTGGAATGGGTTACCTAGGGAGGTGGTGGAATCTCCTTCCTTAGAGGTTTTTAAGGTCAGGCTTGATAAAGCCCTGGCTGGGATGATTTAGTTGGGGATTGGTCCTGCTTTGAGCAGGGGGTTGGACTAGAACCTCCTGAGGTCCCTTCCAACCCTGATATTCTATGATTGCAGCTCCCGGAGTCACAGCTGCCCCGTGTCTGAGCCGTCCGGCCAGGTCACGCTGTGATCCCCATTCTGGGGGAGCCTTTCAAATTCAGACCCCTCTCTCCTATGCCTGCTAGCGAAACCCTTCCTCCAGGGCTCCTAGCCCCCTTTCTGGGTTTCCTAGCCCCCCTTGCCTTAGGCCCCCACCACTGGGCCCAGCCCTTGGGCTGTATAGAAGTCCCACCTGTCCCCTCCCAGGTGAGCTTCCTTCTAGCTAGCACCCTGCACGCAGCCTAAGTCACTTCCCCTTTGCAGCTTAACTGACTGATTGGCCCCCACTTTAACCCTGCTCTGTCAGGGCTGGTGCAGTGAGGGGATCGCAGGGCCCTGGTCTGGAAAAGGTTGGGCCCCCCGATCTGGGGGATGGGGAAGGGGTTGTGCTGAAGGGATTGGGGCCCTGCAAATAGCAGGGAAGAAAGGAGAGTAGAATGGGGGGGGTTAGATGGAGCAGACAGACTGACCGACAGACCACGCCCCCTGCAATCGGTGGGGGGAGCCTCCATGGTCATTCGCCCCCAGTGTGTGTGTGTAACCCCGCCTCCGCTTTCCCCTCTCAGACATTGATGAGTGCAACAAGACCCGAGATATCTGCGGCCCCAACGCCACGTGTATCAACACCAATGGGAGCTACCGGTGTAAATGCTGGATCGGCTACATCCCCTTCAACGGGAGCACGACTCTGTGCCAAGGTGGGTCCTCCTGCTGGGGGCATGGAGGGGGCAGCTGGGGGGGGGGGATGGGGAGAGCCTGGTATTACACAGGCAGAGGTCTCGCCTGAGGCGGCAGTGAGCTGGGAACTGGTCTGGGATGGTGCCAGCTCCCCTGCCCCACATGGACAGGGTCCCTCTGGGTCTCAGCCCTGGCCCGGAGCGGCTCAGCCTCCCCCCAGCCCAGCCTGTCCATCCACTGGGGTGTTTCCGGTGGTATCAGAGCCACAGCCACCAGCGTGCGCAGGTCTGGCTCTGGGAGTGGAGCAGGGCCAGGCTGAGGAGGGGGTGAGCAGGGCAGCCAGGGGCCGGGCGTCTCTCCCCACAGCAGTGCCTGTATTCCTGCTGCACGGCTGGATTCTCTGCCCTGGGAAGAGGGCAGCAGGGGGCGCAGTCTGTGCCTAGTGGCCACTAGAGGCCACTGTGGAGCCAGCCCGGGGCTCCCTGCTGGATTCACCCCCCCCACCCCCCACCACACACCAGAACCACGCACAGCTGGGGGAGATGGTTGAGGGGAGATATGGCTGGGATGATTCCACAGCCCCCGCCCCACCCCACTGCGGCTCAGTCCCTCTAGGACGGGGAGGGGGACGGTTCCTTTCACAGAGATCGGCTTGTGAGCAGAGGATGGGGAGAAGGGGCTGTGCACATGTGTGGGGCTGAGTGTGTGTGTGTGTGGGTCACTGCTCCCCCTGCTGGGAGAGGATCAATTAGACCCATATCACTGACAGTGGGCTGGGTGTGTCCCTGGCCGGGGGGCGGGGGGGAGTGGA